GCGCGCGACGCCGCATCCGAAGATGAACGACTTCCAGCCGAATCTGGCCGAACTGGTACGTCTGTACCAGCATGTTTATGATCTATAGTCTACACAGAGACATTCGCATTGATGGGCGACCGTAAAAGCCTCTCATTTTGTGAATAGGAACACATTTACATTAAGCACCCAGTTTGCACTTGTATAAAATAACTGCTTACATTTACAAAATAAGCCTACAATAGCAGAAGTAAGCCCTGCTGATGAAATTAAGGTTTAAACACTCTTCAATAAGGCTTCAGTTGTTTACTAGTTTACATGCAGTGAAAGTACAATAAACCTACTGCATTTATTACTCTTTTTATATGAATCAGATATGAATAAACTACTAATAAATGGCAAACTACTTCTTCACTGCTGATTCCTGGTGGTTTAGAGGAGAATTACTCCGAGTCGCCCCCTGTCGTTTCACAGAATAGCACAACGGCGAGCGCGTCAAGTATAAACGCCTCCTCCATATGGAGAGGTGCGCGCGCAGTCAGCGGAGACTCGCGCTCGTGCGGACGCATCGAGTATAACGCCGGGTTCACACCGGACGCTGAAGCGCCGCGGAAGCGGCGCGGAACGGAGGCCGCTTCCTTTCGGCGCCCATGTTAACCTATGGTGTCGTTCACACCAGACGCGGAGCGGCGCAGGCGGCACGCGCCGTGAAGCGCCAGTTTCGGCGTCTGGTCTATTTTTTCCGCGAGCCGCGAGTGATCCGCGTCAATTCCGGAAGGAAGTTACACCAAGAAACACTCGACTATCCGGTCAATTGTCAAAATATAAAAGCAATTTTCAAATTAAAATACCGCGAGTGACAAATGCGAACACACAAACAAACAGGGAAACAACGAGAGGGAGAGGCACAAACTTCTTGGTTACAGAAACATGTTGTATTTATATTATGAGGTTATTTACTTACCCATGATGTAAAAAAAAAAAATAGCTCTGAATAAACAACTGAGCAGAAGCGCTTGTCGACCTCCGCGAAGAACACGCGTCTGGTGTGAACAGGCACGCGCCGGACCGCGCGTGAATTTCCGTTCCGCGTCGCTTCAGCGTCCGGTGTGAACCCGGCGTAAGTCAATGCAAAGACGCGTTACGCGCGTAAAAAATTCCTGCGGCGCGAATGAGGCGTAGAGCGCGGCGCGGTAGACGCGAATACGCCTCATTCGCGCGTCAAGTTCGCGCGAATGGCGCGAATTGAGCGTCTGGCGCGTTAAGCGCGAATGATTTAGTTAGTGCTATTTGTGCATTCACGCGTTTGACGCGAATTCGCGTCTGCCGCCCGAGTTGAAAAATCTGAACTTCTGCGTCAATTCGCGCCGCGTTAACCAATCAGGAGCCTAGCTGCTTGCTGCTGTCACGTGGTGAAGTATCTGGATGCTTCAATAAATTATTTTGTAATATATGACTGTGGTTCTAATGCACAACAAAGCAAATATTTTATCACATAAAACTTGATTTCAATATATGAGACATATTCATTTTGTATTGAATGCTATTTATTCCATATCTAGATTATATGAAATATTATTATAATGTAAAGACAACCAACATATAAGTTCGTGTCTGGACAGTGATGTGTGAGAGAGAGAAAAAAATCACAGGACAGATTAATCACTTTTGGAGGCTGGCTTCGTTTATTATCAAAACAAAAATAAATGACAGATTAGGTGGATGCGGGCGAGGGTGAACCTCGCGCCGGGCTGTAGAGCGAGGGCTCGACAGGCATAGACCACTCGAGGCCGAGGGCTTATACGGCCTACGCTGTCCTCGTCAGCGTCCTCACCATTAGGTCCACCAAACCTAGCTCCTGGAGCAAATTGTGAAACTCCTGAAACCCTCCGGAGGTTCTGGTGGACCCGAGTACAGCGACGATGTCCCCTACGGAGCTGTTTCTGCTCTCCAGAGCATATACGAGCGGTGACTCTCTCGAATAATGCTAATGCTAATGCTCGATAAACATCTAAAAAGATGGCCGCCAACGGGTTTCGAAACTTTCGCCTCCGGATTTCGCCTCTGACGCGCGTAAATTTCGCTTCAAACTTTTGTTGTTACGCGCGTCAATTTCGCCATTGACACGCGAATTAACACAAAGTGGTCAAGCGTCAAACTAGACGCGGTAGACGCGAATTTGACGCGCTATTCGCGTCCGGTGTGAACGCACAGTAAGGCCGCACTGGTGCTCTGACTGCACACACACTGCACACACACACTGCACACACACACACACTGCAGAAGCCTGGAGCTTCTCCTCTCCAAATAACGGCTGCTCCTGCAGAGCTCATCTCCAACACAAGAGTCTATATGCCTACAATAATGGTGCGTTCACGTGCTATGGAAAAGATGATATTTTCCACTTGTTAACTGGTATTTACCAGTGTGTTGCGTTCAAGTGCTTTTGTTGTCGTAATGTGGTAAAAAGATGGAGATCCAGACCTGTTATTTAGCTAAAGCTATTTTAGATTGCTTAAGTCATCTGCTACAGCAAGAAAATGATTTATCAAAACTCAAACGGTAAATAATATGCTGTATATTTTACTAGATCATGAATAGTACATATTTTTACTATTCACGACTCTCGCGTTGCTCTCCGCCATTTTGAAACGGTCAAAGGTTATCTCATCTCGGCAACTCGTGCATCAAAATATTCTACGAGTTGCCCAGTGGAAAACACCACATGAGGGGGTGTTCATGTGCATTTTCCACGTCGGCTTTTGGTATTTACCATAATTAGGCTACCATAAAGACCTTGGGTGTGTCCGAATCACCCCCTATAGCCTCATTCACTTCTCCCTACTACATTACTCCACTAATATAGTCCACTTGAAGGAGTGAATGAAAACGAGGGAGTGAAATCGGAGGAAGCCCTGCCGCTTTTGCATCATTTGTGCTGTTTAATAATCATTTGAATCGTGGCAAACTGGCAGCTCCAATCGTAATGAAAAGATTTATCCTGAAGTCTCTCATGGAAACTAGCATATAAACCTTAATTGGTAATCCACTAAGGCATGTAAACCTGTATGATATTACGCTGTAGCCACATTGGACCAGCGGTTTGCAGAATGCATGGATGTATGATTCAGCCGCGGCGCCATCTTCTGGTCAGACGCGCTCACAGTGCATTATGGGATTTTCTCTAACCGTTGAGAGTACATCAGTTGAACACTCTTTACTGCAGTGCATTGTGGGATTGAATGAGTGCACTTCATATGGTTTCAGACCATGGTTTCATTTCCCTATTTAAGGGTGAAGGGGGTGATTTCAGACACAGCCGCTGATTAATCGGGGTTGAAGCTGAACTCTGCAGGACACTGGCCTTTTAGGAACAGGATTGGACACCCCTGCCATAGAAGAACCAATTCTGGTTCCCCAAAGAACCTTTCAGTGATCAGTTTTGAAACAGAACTATTTTCTTAGTGTGAAGAACATTTAAAAAATCTAAAGAACCTTTTTCTACTATAAAGAACATTTTGTGGAATGGAAAGACTTCTTCATGGAACCGTCGATGCCAATAAAGAACATTGATTTTTAAGAGTGAAGGGTAAGGTTGTAAACAAAGCTGCTTATAGATGAAGAAATATTTAACGATTAGTTTTTCGGTGCTAGTAGCGATCTTCTATGATCAGAGCATCTTACAAGATTAACATAAGAACTGTAATAGAAGAATTGAATCTGTAGAGATACAGTAACAGGTCCAGCGCTGAACCTGACAGAAGATCACGTGAAGTTGCAGAGATGAATATATAGTGTGTCTGTTATTAATCCACATCTCTACCTTGAAAATCTTTGACCTTTGAACTCAATTTGCAACACACGCCTACATTTTTTATGTTAGCTTAGCATTTGACTCTACTGGAAGTCACAAAACTAAAAATAAAAACAAACTATTTACATTAGTCTATCTAGTCTAGTCTAAATGGATTACCAGACAAATAACACAAGGTCTAAACTAGAGTTTGATCAGATCAAGTGTGGATTGTACTGATAATAGCAGTTTTAACGGGAACATATTTCTTAAATCCAGCTCTGGATTACTTAGTTGGGTAACCTACTATGGCCAGTTTATTTTATCACTGTTTGTCATTTACCCCCGGTTTCACAGACAAGGCTTACGTCTAAAATGCATGTTTGAGCTTAATATATATATATAGCAGTGTCATTGTTTCTCCCAAGATGCACACAGTAGGCTAATGTTTTTTTCTAAGGCACGTTTATAAAAGCTACATAAGGTCCAAGTTTAACTAAGGCCTAATCTAAGACCTGTCTGTGAAACCCTTTAACTAAAGATATAAAGATAAAATGATAGCATTAAAAGTGTCCGCATCATTTACGTGTTGTGAGCCTGTGTTAGCGTCAGCAACATAGCGTCAGTTGATATTCATATCAACTGTTAAATCCCATCTATTTTAAGACTGGACTATAGTATATAGAATATAATTCAGTATATTTTAGTTTAGTAGTACCTTGTTGTACCTAGTGTTGTTCTGAATAGTTCAGTTAATACATTTTTCTAGTAGCCTATAGCCTATTGTTATGTAGGGCTACAGCTGATGGTGTATTTCTTAATGGTTTTGGTTAGTAGAACTCAAGTGGTCCATTATTGTGTTGTTCTAAACTAAACTATTCTATAGATTAAGTTAGTTCAGATAAAAAAGGGCTATTTGTGGTTTTGCACTGCACAGTTTAGTAACATAGTTCAATATAGTTTAAACAGTACAGAATGTTCACATAACCAGAAAACATTTACAAAACAGGACGTTTTGAATGTCCCAAAATACTGTTTTCATAACTTAATGGGAAGGTTAGCAAAACGTTCTAGTAGCCTAATATGTTTGTGAGCTGGGCTGTTGTTTAGTTTAGTAGGCTATAGGCTACAACAGTAGAGCCAGTGTTTGCTGTTCAGTTCAGTAGTCCAGCAAGTATAGCTAGTTAAATATGTTCACCTACATGACTAGAGCAATGCAGACAGGCATACTGTATAACACTGTCACATTTCACCGTCTCCTCTCAATAAAACCACACGCAACACTCCAGAGTTTGACTGTTTGTATTTACTGAGATGTTTATGCGCATTTTGGAAGGTTCGGTCGCGCGCAGGAATATATTCTTAGTAACAAACACAGAAATGGCGATGTTTTACGCCCTCGGAGCACGTCGCTGCGCATTAAAAGCCGCACAGACAGGTTTCAGACGAGGCTGGAGGGTCCGTGAACGTGCGCGATATCGTCGAGATTCGTCGGAATTGTTTCAGCGCAAAACTTTCGTTATTGTCATGATGGGCGAGTGTGAAGCGCGACGGCTGTGCGCATGCGCACTGGAGTCCGCCTGGCCAATTTCTCAGTACTCGTGGGAGAATTTGGGTAAGAAACAGACAATTTAAAACAATCGCACGCTAGGATAAACTGCTTGTGTAGCATTGTATACTGTATAATAAACCGTGTTAGACTTTCGCGGGAGGTTTAATGCGACGGAATAATAATGAAAGTTAGATATAAAGTAGAAAACGCCTGGACGTGTCATCAATAATATGAGCAGCAGGAAGAGAGAGAGAGAGAGAGAGTATGAAATAAAGAATAACGCTAATGAATGACACTCAAAATAGACGCAGTCGATAGAAAGGATCAAAGTGTGTATTTGTGGCTGTTGGCAGGAATAAAGCGTGTATTATGAGTGTGTGTAGAATAATGCAAAGCAGGAGTACATTCGCTCCTGTACATGGCAGGAACTGACCGTGCGAAACAAAACATGTCTCGATCAGCTCTGCGAGGATCTGCTCAATCATTCACTTTAAATGTCATTGATCAGCAATAATGACGCGATTCGCCAGGCCTGTGTCTTTCAATTATATAGTGAATATAATTCCTGCTCCGCCATTTTGAGAAACTGCCTTTAAAACACATTAAAGAAAAGTGTTTTAATATCTGATACTGCGCCGTCTGAAATATGTCATCACTGCTCGTCTTCGTCGATATTTGAGGAAAAATAACACCGTCGAGATGAATCATTTCACCTCATTCAGTGTAAACTATTTAATATAATAGAGCTGAAGCAAACGTGTTTAATAGAAAAAAAACCTGGTGCGTCAAAACTCATGTATTTTATTTTAATTAGTTTTTCATTTAAAAAAATAACATGTATTTTATTTCTATCATCATCATCGTCGTCTACAAATTTAATCTAAAAATCATTATAAAAAACTGTTATCTGAGTAGATCGTAGATTTTGATGTCGTATTGTACTTCACGTTAAAAAAAAGTAAAGCATCTGCACGGAGATTTTAAAAATTCGTTGAAAAAATGAACTTATGCAACCTAGTAAATACCAACTGCAGCAGCGAAAATCATTTCACGTGCAGATATACCATAATTATTTAACTCTGACTTAAGAATTTCATGCTAAACGATGTTAAAATGAATCAAAACACGCGATGCGTACATCAAATGTTGTAATATGTGACAATATTGCTAGCATTTCTTTTGATTTCATTGTTGAAAGTTTCCAGTAGCGCCGCGGCTGAGCGACCCCTGTCGGCGGTTGAGGGAACCACACACACACACACACGCTGTAGGCCTCATGCGCCACTCACACACACTCCTGCTAAACTGGCTTTAGTTAGCAGACACACTGTGTGCTCTAACACTGCCTGTGTGTGTGTTCATAGTCTGTTTATGTGTCCTTCCAGATCAGCTTGCTACTTAAGCTATAGAAACAACTGTATTGGTTTATGGTTGTTCAGGAGTGACTTTTAGGCTAAAGGTTTTGAAGAACAGATAAGAAGACTTCTTCTAATATTTTTTTTTTATGATATATATAGATTATAAATGAAAGTGAGCTTACAAATGCACTGTCTACTGTCTAAATGCACAAAAACAGTGCAATTCATTAGGTGACAGCTGTTAAACCAGTTCTGGACTAAAACAACATGGTAATTGTCTGCTGGATAACCTTTAAAATAATCACAAGTGTTGTTTGAAATGATTTTTCATTAGTATACGGATGAATCCCACAATCCCTGTAAAGAATAGGTCTGGGCTGCATTTTATCCCAAAAACTAATGGGGGGAAAAACATTTTATGCTGATTTAAAGTCTTACAATCTTACTGATCTCAAAAAGGCACATACACGCAAACAGCACGATAGCTACTAAATCAACATTTAGCTTTGGTTTCCTGGAGTAAAAACACACTTCGAGGTGAATTAGTGTGCATGTGAATGTTTTCAGTGGTGTATTGTGTAAGTGTGTGAGGTGTGGCGTGCTGTTTCAGGTTAGCCGTGTGTGTGTGTGATGGAGTCGTCGGGCCCGAGCGCAGCTCCAGAGTTTGATGTGTACGAAGCCATGGACTGGAAGGACGGAGTGGGAACTCTTCCCGGCAGCGAGCTCAAGGTGAGGGAACACACACACAACCTAAAAACTGCATTCCCAGCAAGCAATAGCCGGCATCACACCGTCTCGGTTAACTACAGACCCGATATACTCCGGCTATGAGGAACACACTTCCAGTTCTAGCCCAAATAACCTTGAATTTGGTTAAATGTCGTTTTGCCAAATAACTTGCGAGATGTTTGATATCCATCATGTAAGCAAAGTAAACAGTGATTACAAGGTTTGGGTTTCATTTCTTACTCGTTTCATTTATTTGTATCTAATTGATGACTTGTCTATTCTTGGTCTATTAGACGTCTATTTAATTTTCACTGACAGCCCAAATTTGTCCTTGTTTTAGTCTAGACGTCTGGGCTGCGTTTGGACGGCTATTAGACGTCTTTTAAATGCAAAATTGCTTGCTGAGTTAAATCCTGTGTGTGTGTGTGTTAGTTGTGTACATCCAGCAGTGTGTGAGCGTCTCTGTTGTGTGTGTGTGTGTGTGTGTCAGTTCCGGGTGAATGAGTTTGGGGTCCTGGAGGTCATAACGGACGAGATGGAGGAGGAGAGGGGCAAAAAAGCTCACGCCACCACCACATGGAGCGTCCCCACGGCACACGAGGGTAAACGCACAATAACACACTCACGTTTGGTGTTCAGTGCCCTTTCCCTAAGCCACTTTGCCCCTTGGCTGCTGTCTCAAGTTTTACACAGCAATCCCACAGGAATGAGCTACAGATTTCTGTGATTTTCACTACATTAAAGGAGTAGTTCACTTCAATATTAACATTTCCTGATAATTTACTCTCCCGCACGTCATCCAAGATTTTCATGTCTTTCTTTCTTTAATTGAAAAGAAATGAAGGTTTTTGAGGAAAACGTTCCAGGATTGTTCTCCATATAGTGACTTCAATGGGGTCCAACGGGTCGAAGGTCCAGATGTGAGTTTCAGTGCAGCTTCAAAGTCTCGACACGATCCAGCCGAGGAATAAGAGTCTGATCTAGACAAACCAGCGGACATTTTATAAAAAACAATAAACATTTATAAACTTTTTAACCAAAAATGCTCGTCTTGCACTAGATCTTGGACCCCATTAAAGTCACTATATGGGGAAAAATGTTTTCCTCAAAAACCTTAATTGAAAGAAAAGAAAGAAAGACATGAACATCTTGGATGACATGGGGGAGAGTAAATTATCAGGAAGTTTTAATTCTGAAGTGAGCTAATCCTTTAAAGTGGTAAAAATGAGTGGATGCAGTTCTCAAGTGGGCTGGAATGAATTGTGAGATTTTAATCCGCCTTAAAGAAATTGCTAAATTACACAGTAATGTGATTAAAAGAATCTGCCAGTGATTTCAGCTGATCGCGTTAGTGCAGGTGAACAGATTCAACATGTTTACTATGGTACTGTGAACTCTTGAGTTACCGTATCAATTCAATCACCTGATTCATTACATATATGAAGGGATGTTCAGTTAAAGGTCTATTTCAAGAACAAACATTAATATCTAAACAGGAACGACTATAATCGAGAAAAACAGGTATGCTTGAGCAATCTGTCCTTTTTAGGGTCGCATCTTGTGACATCACATCCTGTTTTGGTCCTTTGGTCCGTGTTGCGTTCATATTTCGGTCGAACCGCACCAGAGTTCGTTTAGAAGCGGACTGAGACCAATTTTTTTTTAACAGTTTCGGTCCGCTTGTTTGGTTCGGATGGCAGCCTTAACACTTAATCAAATGACAGAGCAATCACACCAGAGTTCACTTTAATCAAACCAAACCGGCCAAGTGTGAACACACCCTAAAAGTGCTAAATAATATATAAACTGCACTGTAAAAAGTGCTTACCTGCAATTGTTACATTAAAGAGCTGATTTAACCCATATAAACTAGTTCTGTTCGGACAAATGAATATATTTAGGTCGGTTCAGTGATGTTGAATAATATTTTTGAAAACCATTTAGATGCAAGATGTGTAAGTATGATGTTAAATTCACATAAAGAAAACTTACACAAGTATCAAAATAGTAGTTTACTGAGAGTGTACTTCATAAACCTCATACTTCATAAAGTAGTTACTCACTTACATTAGCCTAAAAAGTGAGATAAAGTTTATAAACAAACAGTATACCTTGTAACAGTAACAGTTCACTTGTAGTGTAGTTCACATAGTCGCAATAGAAAAGAAAAACTTACTTAGTTGTGTACTTAAAGTTTACTGCTGTTACACTTAAAGTACAGTTAAAAATACTTTTATAAACTAAAAAAAGTGGGCCAATTTAGTCCCAAGAAGTAATGAAAATAGTACACACAATTATACTGCTAGTATGCTGATTTTAGTGCATAAAGTAGTAAGTATATACTTACTTACTGGGAAATATATTTGAACTTGACTTAAGTTGACTTGATGTTTCTCTTTTGTAAGGCTAGTGACATTGATCGACACTGGAGCAGATGTAGAGTTATACATCAAAAACAGTCATTGTGTAGATAAAGCTTTCTAATTGTTCAGTGTTTGCTGAGATTTATTTCAGAAAATCCTTTAAGAATAACTTGTAAATAATTCTGTGTTGGTTTAAATGATCTATATGGATGAATCTCACAATACCTGTCATGCACATACAAACAAACAGCACGATAGCTACTAAATCAACATTTAGCTTTGCTTTTCTGGAGTAAAAAGTTTTTATGGACTCCTACTAGGGATGCACGATATATATCTGCCGCCATATCGGTATTGGCCGATATATGTTCATTTTTAATGTTATCGTTATCGGCCCATTAAGAAAATTTGGCCGATATATTAAAGCCGATAAATAATGTATTATTCCCTTCAGCTGAGGCACTTCAGATGTTCACTGTTCAACATGATGGTTTTAAATAGCTTGAAATATTATTGAAATCTCTTCAAAAATGGAAAATACAGTTCAGTGCAACATGTGCAGCGCAAATCTGTCATATCGGCCACATAACACTATCATGAGAACATCATTATAATCGTGCGCTTGGGACTTTGACTTGTCTTTAATGGTGAGACTTTTGTTTTTCTAATCAGGCTCTCAAAAATTATATAAAATTAGAATTTAGATTTATCGGCCAATATATTGATTATCGCCTTTCAAATATAAAGAATTATCGGTTATCGGTATCGGCCAAAATGTTCATATCGGTGCATCCCTAAGTTTGGGAATTGATTCTAGATTGATTTAACCTTGTTTTTAAAGCTATCCAAACACACCGATTCTCCGTAGACTTTCATCTGAAGAGAGCCCAGGTTTGTTTGAGACCGCATTGGTCAGTAATGTTAGGATCAGTCAGTCAGTTAGTGGAATATTGTGATGTGAATGAAGTTTAATCTCCCTGAGGATTGTAAAGTTTCTCTGTTGTCCTGATCTCCCTCAGCTCTGTCCTCGCGGCCGGTCTCACAGGAGGAGGCGTCGTGGGCCCAGCGAGGCCTGGTGTGTGTGCGCTGTAACAGGAAGGGCTCTGTGGTGGACTTCCTGTCTGATGGACTTCACTGCAGCGAGCGCTGTCTGCAGCAGGACCAGCAAGAGTAAGTCAAGCCTCACGATTACTGCGGATCAGACTCATCACTCCACGGACGATAACTATAACCATAAAATATGGTTCTTGAAATCATTATAAATATTAAAGAATAGCAGAGTCCACAGCACAACTATAACGACACAGAGGAACGATATCGCTTTAATTACTTTCAGAATGAGTGTAAATGATAAAAACACTGCTTTAAAGAGCGCAAGCATTTAAAGTGAGAGACAACAAAACTGCAGCGTGCTTATAATAAACGTCTCGGGTTACGACTGTAACCCTTGTTCCCTGAGAAGGGAACGAGACACTGCGTCGATGACGACACTTTGGGGGGAACACTTGTGAAGTATGAATGAAACTAATCCAATCCTGATTGGTGCTGCGTCATGACGTGACATGTGACGGCATACACGGAAGCTACAAAGGGACGCCGGCACACAACAGAGTTAGCTTCTGGGATGAAGCAAGCGCTCCCAGGCAGGGGGAGCCGTGGCAAAGGGACACAGTGTCCAGTTCCCTTCTCAGGGAACAAGGGTTACAGTCGTAACCCGAGACGTTCCCTTTCGAGGGAACTCGAACTGCATCGATGATGACACTTTGGGGAACGAGTACCCACTATGCCACAACGAGCCCTGCCTGTCCCAGTGTGAAGCTGTGCACAGGCACACTTAGGACGAGAGCACTAGAGTGCCTGGCGTAGAAGAAATGTCCAGGGTATAGAATCTGATTAAAGTGTGAGGGGTGGCCCATCCTGCTGCATCGCACACTTCTTGGATCGGGGCCCCTGAAAGGAGGGCTCTAGAGGACTGGTTGAATGAGCCCTCACGTCCAAAGATGAAGGCAAGCTGCGCACCTGATAGGCCATAGAGATAGCCTGAACGATCCAGTTGCTGATGGCCTGTTTGGATGCGGGAACCCCCTTCTTGGGCGACCCGAAGCACACCAGCAACTGGTCTGACTTCCGCCTTGAAGAAGACCTCTGGACATATATCTTGAGAGCTCTGACAGGGCAGAGCAAATTAAGTCTTTCTTCATCCGCCGTCACATGAGGTGGAGGATGATAAGCCTGCAGAACCGCAGGCCGTGCCACATTAGATGGCACTTCAGGCACATAGCCCGGCCTGGGTTGCAAGATAGCCTTAATATCGCCTGGAGCAAACTCCAAGCACCCGTGAGATATAGAAAGGGCCTGAAGATCTCCTACTCTCCTCAGAGAAGTAATGGCTAATAAAAAAGCTAGGGAAAGGTTCTTGGCCTCAGCCGACTCTAGAGGTTTCGAATAGGGCCTCAACCAGCCCTTCGAGAACCACCGCCAGGTCCCATGTGGGAACTCTGGTTTCCACAGGTCTCATCCTCCAAGCCCCACAGAGGAAACGTACGACCAGCTGATGTGTCCTCAGGGGCCCATTACCCAGAGGAGCGTGGAAAGCCACAATGGCAGACACGCACACCTTGAGTGTGGATGGGGTAAGACCAGCCGAGAAGTGATCTTGGAGGAACTCCAGGACTGAAGCCACCGGGCAGTTACCTGGGTCCACCTCACACTCTCCACACCAAACGGTGAAAACATTACATTTTAGGCCGGACAGTTTCCTCGTGGAGGGAGCTCTAGAGCCGAGTATGGTCTTGACTACTCCTACTGACAGATCGGCTTCTAGGTACTGTGCCCCCTCAGGGGCCAGACCCACAGTTTCTTTCCATAGATTCAAGGAACGAAAACCGGAAACGAACGAAATTTTAATATGAACAAAACCGATTTTGCAAAATCAATTTTAATCGTTCTGAACAGAAACGTTTATTTGAAATGACCATTAACCCGTTAATAACGTTATTTTATGGTTCTCTTTAATATTTTATTTTGGCAGTGACCAGAATTGAGTAGTAGCCTAGCCTACAGCATGTGACGTTGACACATCAAGAGTGAGTGAAATGGCTGAAAAAACAAGTCGTGTTGCAAAAAAAGTTATGTACAAAGAATGTTATCACTCTTATGTCAAAAACATTGGCATAAGAGGGCCACTTTCAATTGTCTAACGGTCCAGTAAAACAGGTCAATATTTTTCCAGCTGTTTATGCTTTGTAATTAATACAGGTATTTCTGTTGTGGTTTTAACAATGTTATGAAATAAATGTTCAAGTTTAATTATCATGTGTTATCTTATTTTTGAGTGAAAATTAGGGCATTTCGAGCAAAAATAATATTGGAAGAACGCTGGGTATTATTAGATTATTATTTGAAAATCACACCCCTCCCCACACGCACGCACACATGCAGGTATAGGCTACACACCAGAGCATGTGAGTGAAGCGGAGCAGTGTGACGCTTAAATATAACTTAAAAAACATACGTTTCATATTTATGTTTAAATAATATAATGTTATTTTTTAATTCATAATTTCATCAATGTTGATTATATGAAAAGGGAACTTCATGAGATGAGTAAGATAGGATCATAAGATGCCCAATATATCGGAGGACATTTGGAGTGGGTCAGACATGATTTTGACCACTTAATTAAGTTTGTTTTGTAGAAAGCCTTTCTTTAAAGTGAACTTTGTTTTGTATAAATTGTTTCTTAATTTTAATCAATGTTTCATCAACCAATTGCCTGGATTTAATAAATAAGAAGCAAATATAGCAGACAATATAATCAGGAAACGGAGGCGCCGGCGCGTGAACTGGAGCGCGTCTCATAAATGAACCGAAACTCCGTGTATACTTGCCTCACAGACTTGAGAAATATATCTATAGAAAAATCTTGATATGTCTACTTTTAAACAAAACAATTCAAAACGAAAAGAAATGGGCTGCTCTCTGCTTATGTAGGCTAATTCGTAGCCTATATGAAGTGTGTATTTCTCTATATGCGCGTTCACTAATGCGAAGACGGCAAGTCCGCATTGTCAACTTTATCTTTGCAGCCGACACTGAGAAAACACTAGTTTATTAGTAAGCAATTAAAATGTCTCATGCATAATCATTACTTTTGCCGGTTATTTGTGGCAAGCTTTATGTGTGCACTTGAGTGCAGAACATATATTACGAAAACGCTCATTATGGTTTAGTATTCTCTCCCATGTCTATATTTAAGTAATTCACTTAATATAAATAAGCGATTAGACAAATGGCTTAAATGAACTACTACTAGTCGTCTAGAAAAAAAACTTTAGTCGTGCACGGGTAGGCCTACTTATTTCACATATTGTCGAACCAGCATGTCACAGAGGGCATTCTGAGCGAGCGTAATCTCCAGAAAGACTCACTCTGCTCTGGAGGAAATATTACCACTCCGCTCACATGCTCTGGAGTGATAAAATGTGTTGTTCTTCTGTTGTCTGATATAGTTGATTGACAGCTTTTATGTGCGTTATTGGCAGCGTCACACTCTGGTTACATGAACATGGGGATTTTTTTAAAGACAATAAGCGCACAACCTATTCGATATTCTATAATAAAATCAACTAATCGAATATTCAAAAATCGTGACTCATCCCTAATTTATACATATTTGTTTAAAGTATCGGCTAAATTAAAATAACGTTATTAACCGGTATTTTTATAATCAAACCGTTTTCGGAATGGTAATGTTTAATGAGGAACGCAAAAACAGAAACTTTAAAATATCGATTCTGCTCGGAGTGAACCAATTGATTTTTTTTTTTTTAAGCCCTGTGCGTGAGGGAGAACCACAGTGGACAGTGTGTCATTTCTCGAGACTTAAACAGGTCCACTTCCTCTCGGCTGAACCTCCCGTATATTAACTCCACCACCTCGGGGTGGAGTCTACATTCCCTTGGCCTCAGCCCCTGCCTCGACAGGATGTCTGCTCCCTGATTATGGTCCCCTGGGATGTATGTGTCTCTGAGAGACAACGTCTCCCCTGGGACCACAGGAGGATCTGATACGCCAGTAAGCATAGAGGGCATGATCTCAGAACCCCCTAATGATTTAGATAGGACAGCCCTGACATATTGACTGTTCTGACAAGAACGTGGTGACCCTTGAGGTCTGGCAAGAAACTCCTCAGAGCTCGAAAGACCACCAGCATTTCCAGGCAATTTATGTGCCAGGGGGAATGATGGTCCTCCCATAGACCTCTCGTAAAGCGGCCGTCCATGACCGCGCCCCAGCCGTGAAGGAGGCGGCTTCCGGGCGACATGAAGCTCCCAGCACGGGACCTTGGGATAGGAACCAAGGTCTCTTCCTCATAGATAGGGAAGGAAGGCATCTGCGCGTAACCCTGATCATGCGGAACTTCGGCCCTCGTGTGCAGCAGGGCGAACTGAATGACGTTGGACGCTGCTGCCATGAGCCCTAACACTCTCTGAAAATGCTTTACAGTGATAGTTTGGCCTAGCTTGGCCTAGGATGTGCTCTATCCATGCAGGAGACAATTGTGCCCGCATCGTGACCGAATCCCACACCACTCCCAGGAACGTGGTTCTCTGGGCTGGTGCCAACACACTTTTTTTCGTGTTAAGTCTCAACCCCAGGCTCTGGATGTGGGCAAGGATGACATCTCAATGGCGAACTGCCATCACTTGTGACTGGGCCATAATAACCCAGTCGTCGATATAGTTCAGCACCCTGATACCCTGAAGCCTCAGCGGCACTAGAGCTGCATCCATGCATTTGGTAAATGTGCGAGGCCGAACGGAAGAACCCGATGTTGGTACACTTCGCCCCTGAAAGCGGACCTCTGGAACCTCCAGTGAGATGGAAGGATGGATATGTGGAAGAATGCGTCCTTCAGATCTATCGTGACAAACCAATCCTCAGATTTGATTTGGCTCACGATGATTGGAATAGTGAGCATCTTGAACCTGAATCTCCTCAGAGACCGATTCTAGTGCCTTAGATCTAGAATTGGACGCAACCCCCCATCCTTCTTGGGAACTATGAAGTAGCGGCTGTAAAACCCGGACTCCCTGTCCGGCGGAGGAACATGTTCTATAGCCTCCTTTGCCAACAGGGAGTTTACTTCTTGTCCCAATACCCTGCAG